CTCAGTTGGGTCGCCCTTCTTTGGGATGGGAACAAATATAGATCTCTTCCAGTCAGTTGGCCAAGTGGTTGTTCTCCAGATCCAGGCCATAGTCTTCACAATTTCTTGCTCTGTGTCAGAAAGCTGGACAACGACTAGGCATGATAAAAGAAATGATGACTTTGAGCTGTGGTGCTAGAGAAGTGTATTGAATATACCACAGACTGCTAAGAGAACAAACAGATTTGTCCTAGAGAGGGTGAAACCAAGCTGTTTCTTGGAGGCAAGGATTCTGAAGCTTCATAACTTTAGGAAGTTAATTTTTCTTTCTTAGCCTGATGGTTGCCATTCTAAATAGTGATATGTGTTTGACACAATATTTATGAAAGGAGGTATCATACTCTAGCATCCCCAGCACCTGGGTACAGATACACAGGTAGGTGATACACATGGTGAGCCAACCACAGATAATCACTTCCATCATATTCCAGGGCTGGACAGGCACTTTACCCAAGCTGGGGCTATCAGACTCTGCAAAGTACAGGGAATCTTCTGAACAGAAAACAGAGACAGGAGAGCGGGGCAGGAGCCCCCTGTTCTGTGAATTCCTGCTGCTGCGTTTCCCACAGCCACTTGTCTCTGTCCTCCAACATGGCACTCAATCTCCCTGGTTGCCTCATCAAACCCTTGTGTCTTTACAGCAAATCTCTCTTTCTTTTCTATCACCTACTCAGCAGGTTCTTGTTATTTGCAAACCATTCGTCACCCACATGAAGACAGAAGAAATCACACCTTCATGTCAACTATCGTCCCTCTGGAAAAGGGGCTGGCAGTGGGCGAGAAGCACAGATATTAATTTTTTACTTTTCTTTAGTATTTGAATTTTAGTAAATCAAGTTAGGGAGCTCTGGTGGCCTAGTGGTAAGGAATTGTGCTGCCAACCCAAGACATGTCGTTCAAATCCACCAGTTTCTCTGCAGGAGAACCTGCAGGAGCAGTCTCTTCTGATGGGATTTACATCTTCTGAAAACCCACCAGAGGATCAGCTATGAGTTGCTTCCAACTCCATGGTACATAACAACAACAATATGAGTTACTTTTTAAAATGTAAAATATAGTGTAGAATACATATTCTTTTAATTACTCAGAGCACTTGGGGTGAAGGAGAAAGAATGAAAAATAAGAACACCGTTCAGAGTAAAACAAAGAGCCAAGTAAGGGTCTCCCTACTCTTTACCATTAGATTATCATGAGAATAGATTAAAATAGCAAATGAATCTCCCATCACAGATCAAAGAGCAAAATGCTGGTCATGAGAACTATCCGGTCAGAAAGTTCCGATTTCAATTCATGTCACTGGTGGGGGAATTTCATCTAGAGCTGAGTTTCAGGGCTTTAGTAAAAAGAAGTTCTCAGGCATGTGGAAAGGCCACTAGCTGTGATAGGCACAGGGACTTACCATTGAATGACAGATTGATGGCCTCTAGGTAGTTTCCTTGTGCTGAGGTAGAATTGTCTCCTGGAGGAAAACCCTCTGAAGCAAAAGATTCAACAAAGGAAAAACATCTCATGAATAATGAACACCTTACAGAATAAGCAAGAGGTATCTGACTCCATAGGGTCCCCGCCCTCCACTAGGGACAGTCATGTACTTATTACAGTTGGACCCATGTGGTAACAGGACCCAGACCAGACAGAAGCGGAAACTACATGCAGCAATGCCTTCCCTCTTTGTCTCTCGGTTCCCGTCTTCCCTCCTTCCCCACCACAATGTCTCTCACATGGATGCAGTACCTGCCTGTTCCAGTCGCACCAGCACTGGATACTGGATGAAGAGCTTTTTAATGGTCACCAGAAGTGAAGTCCACTCTTCTCTTCTCTCATTCTGCACGACAACTCTAAAAGGAGTATTGTCAGAAAACATCTGTTTCATACCTACTCCATACATTACTTGCTATGCGTCTGAAATTTAGACAATGCATAAGGATGACAGAATAAGAGTCAATGCCTTTGAGCTGTGGTGTTAGAGAAGGACACTGAGTAGCCCACGGACGGCCAAGAGAACAGATATGTCTTGGAGGAAGTGCAAGCAGGGTGCTCTTTGGAGGCAAAGATAGTGAAACTTCATCGTATACACTCTGGATATGTTGTTAAAAGGAGCCAGTCCTTGGAAAAGGACATCATGCTTGGAAAGGTCAGTGAAAGAGAGGAAGACCCTCCACAACATAGATTTGCACAGTGACTGTAAAGGTGGACTCGACTGTGTCAGAGACGAAGAGGATGGCACAGGATAGAGGACGGCAGGGTTCAGACTCACTGTTCACAGGGTCACTATGTGTCCTTGTCCACTCGACAGCACTTCACAGTGACAACTATATAAAGGACAGTAGGTCCCATATCGGATTCCAAGGAGAGAGATGGGATTCTCAGACATAAAGAAAATGGACCAATAAGCAGCAGTGCTACCTATTAATAATAAGTAAGTATCATTAAGTGTATTGTTAGGTGCTGTCGAGTGGGAACTGACACATAGCTGACCCTTCTGAGGGTTTTCAGAGGCTGTGAATCACATGAGAGGAGACGGCCTATCTTTCTCCCTTGGAGCAGCTGATGGATTCAAACTACCTGCCTTTGGGCTGACACCACAACTCCTTACCAGCTAGGCCAGCAGAGCTCCCTAGCACATAAGTAGTGTACAGTAATAAATAATCAAATCAAATGCAACTAACAAGTAAGAACAATGATATATCACCACAATCAACAAAAACAATTCATTGCCATCACATCAGAACCAACTCCTAGCTGACCTCCCAGAGGTTTTCAGAGGCAATAAACCTCTTGGAAGGAGAACGCCCATCTTTCTCCTGTGAAGCAATTGGTGAATTCAAATCCTGAGCCTCTGGGCCGGCAGCACAATTATCTACCTAATAGGCTGCCAGAGCTCCATCATCACTTTATTGAATTGTTGTTGTTGTTGTGTACTGTCAAATCAGATCCAAATGGCACTGGAGGAGATTGCACCTCCTTCTCCAGTGGAGCATCAGATGGATTCGAATCACGTGCCTTCAGGATTGCAGCGCAGCTTCTTGTCACTAGGCCACCAGAGTTCCTTCCACCATCACTTTAAAGGTCACATAAGTTTAAAATGGAAAAAAACGTTTTTTAAAAATTGTCTTGCGATTTGATTCATGTTCAGTGTTGGGCAGAGATAGGAATACTAGGAATGAGGATACAGGGAGGGGGGGCACAGACATACCCCTCTATAGGAATAGTAGGAATGAGGGGGCAGGGAGGGAGGTGCAGACATACCCCTCCAGAGGGAAACAGAGGGCTTCTTTCATTTGTCCTTTCAATAATTATTTACTGAGAACCTCTGCATATCAGCCAGGGGAGTGGATGCAAGTGGGCTCTGCTGTGTGGGCACGAAAAGTCTAAATGTTTCTAACCGGTAACCGGGAGGGGAATCCCGGCCTCTCACTTTGGCATAATAGTAGGTCCCCTTGCCACAAGAAAAAGATTGATAACCCAGTAACAAAACGGGCAAAGGACGTAAATAAACTCTTCAAAAGGAAGACATTCAGAGGACCAACATATTATCAATAAATGCTCTAAATCACCAGCAATCAGAAAGATGCAAATCAAAACTACTATGAGATACCATCATCACCCCCCAGTAGCAGTAGCAAAGTTAACAGGACAGCAAGCACTAAATGCTGGAGAAAATGTGGGGAGATTAGAAACCTCATATACTGTTGGTGGGATTCTAAAATGATACAACCACTCTGCAAGGCAGTTTGGCGTTTCTTCAAAAAGCTGAACATAGAGATCCCCTATGACTCAGTTGTTATATTGCTAGGAATATATCCCAAAGAAATTAGAAATGAGAAACAAAAACAAATGTGTACACCTACGTTCACAGCACTGTTATTCACAATAGCAAGAAATGAAAACAACCCAAATGTCCATCAGCCAACAAATGGATTGAGAAACTCTAGTACATTCACACAATGGTATATCACGCAGCACTAAGGAACAGTGATTCTGTGAAATATCACACAATGGAATATGATATAGCACTAAGTAACAATAATTTTGTGAAATATTGTTTAACATTGTAGATTCTAGAGAGCATTATGCTGAGTAAAATAACTCAGTCTCATAAGGTCAAATATTACATAAGACCAATATCGTAAAAACCGACAGATAACTAAGCAGGGTATGTATACATGTTCAAAAGGGGAAGGAGGAAAATCACCAGGATAGCAAAGTTTAGTGGGCAGATAAGGAGGTGAAGGAACAGGTAAGATTTTACAGGGACTTGAAAAGATGAAGTAGGTAAAAAGAGGAATAGAATTAATTATATCAAATATAATGTATGTGAAAAAAATAAAAACAAACAATAACAAATAATGTATGCAAATGTATAAAACACAATGCACTTGAATGAAACATAATGGATATAAATTATTGTAAGCAAGCCAATAAAAATATAAGGGAAAAAAACTTGGGGAAAAAATATCTAACACTAAAGAACTAGGTAAATTACACTAAAAGTTTACATAATGTGAAAAAATATTGTACAGCCATAAAAATTATGTACTTTTTTATAATTGATGAATATAAAGAAAAATACATGGAGGTTCACTATACTATTTTAAGTATGTATCATTTTCTTACAAACAAAAACAAATCAGAAAAGATGTCCATTTTAAAATGGAATAAATAGGAGATCCAAGATGGCGGCAGAGGCAGAGACAGCGTGG